TATCTGTAATGGTTTTCATTTCATAAAAAAGCACATTATTTTAATTATGAGAAAGGTCCTGAAATCGATTGAAAAGAAAAACTAACAATTTCAAAACTGTATATAAAGATGTATTTTAAGCTCATTTATAATACATGTATATAGTAAGACCATCATCACGTGAGTTTTGTCCGGGGGGGGGGGGGGGTATTAGTATCTTGTTTTGCGCTAGCTATATATAAACATGATAAAGTGTACAGGTTATTTACTTTGATTTCTAGAGTAGCATTGAAGCATTTTTGTCTCAAACACTTCAAGACAACTTTCCCAGTTAAAACTGTTCATAATTTACTTCGTCGTCGAGAACGACGGAAAACAGACCAGTCTATAAATAGAAGCCGTCTCATCAATCTATCACTGACCATGAAGAAGTGCGCCATCTAGTAGGAGAGTACATGTAATATGAATTTCTTTAAAACGAATCATCTAACTATTTTCCCAGAATTATCAGTAGCGGATCCAGGAATTTCATAACGGGAGGGCGCAGTAGAAGGCATGGAGTCTGGGGGGCTGTATTGAAACCCCAGTGGGTCCAGAGCAAAGCTCTGATTCGCCCCCGGAAGCTGACGAATTCTTACAAATAAGAGGTGTTTTTTCCTTGATTTTAGGATAATGAACATATAAGTTCTCCATACAAAAAATTCAAACGGGGGGGGGGGGGCGCAAATAGTGGCATGTCTCAGATATTCGTTAATCTGTAGTATTTGGTTATGAAATTTGAGAAAGTCAACTGTACATCTTGTATAATGAAGTATCGCAACTATGTCGCTCCTTGATGACGGAAACGTTTAGCACCTCTCCTGCATATACGTTCCATAGATATTGATTGATTAGTCAGGCAAGCTTTTTGAAAAGCTATTACTTGTAAAAACAATACAACTTGGTTGTTATGACGTCGTTATTGTGACGTCATAAAGGCAGCATTATAGGCGCAGGTAAATGTCATTAGGGCGCCAAAAGTAGAGAATTGAACATATGTACATTGTGATGAAATAGACTGCTAATTTTAAGCTATAATGTTCAATTTACATTTAGTTTAGGTTTAAATAATTTTACAAAGTAATCTTCCTTGGCTCTCCGTAATTGTTCATTATTTTCTAGAACTTTATAAAATGGAAATATTAAAAAGTTTCCATTCGCACATGAATCAAAATGTTCACTGCATGGCGTATTCCTGACAGAAGGAGAGACGTTTACTTTTAAATGTGGTAAAACATTTACCGTAAATGCGAATATGTCATGCAAATCTAAAAATTTAATATACTGTATGACTTGTACTTCATGCGGGGAAAACTACATTGGACAGACCGGTAACAAACTAGCTGACCGCGTAAGAGTCCATAAACAACAAATACGGGACCCTTCTGTCAGGAATACGCCATGCAGTGAACATTTTGATTCATGTGCGAATGGAAACTTTTTAATATTTCCATTTTATAAAGTTTTATAAACTAAATGTAAATTGAACATTATAGCTTAAAATTAGCAGTCTATTTCATCACAATGTACATATGTTCAATTCTCTACTTCTGGCGCCCTAATGACATTTACCTGCGTCTATAATGCTGCTTTTATGACGTCACAATAACGACGTCATAACAACCAAGTTGTATTGTTTTTATAAACTATGTTACACTCTGAAGAGCCTCACGGCGAAAGCGCTTAGTGTAATAATTAAATGTGAACTTGTTTGTTTATCTTGGATTTTATTTTAATTTATTTTAGGAATGACTCTAATTCTTGGCCAAATTATTCAAGTATAACCTGGTTTGTGTCAGTTTACGCTTTATAATCCGCGAAGCGGATTATAAAACAGCGTAAACTGACCCAAACCAGGTTATACTTGAATAATTTGGCCAAGAATTAGAGTCATTCCTTATAATTTAATTTTAAAATCATTGAATAACTATGGCTGTAAAATTTCGTTACTTTTTATTAGTTCAAATTTGCCGCTCAATAATACAATTGTAGTAACGGAAGTAACGGAAGTGATGGGAATCGAGGGGAGGTAAAAACTGATACATAGGCCTAGCAGCCATGTTGTTTGGTTATCGTTTGAAATTAAAGGTACATTTATTAAATATGGAATTTTCCATGAATCCCGAGGACTGGAAATGAGAGGATTGTATGGAAACAGATGATTCAGCTGGTTGTCAAGGGGGTGTGTCCCCATACCAAACCAGATTATACAGAAATAATTTGTGTTCCTTTTTGGATATTAACCAATCAGAGGCTAGAATACAAACAAAATTAAATTATATATATATATATATATATATATATATATATATATATATATATATATATATATATATATATATATATATATATATATATACCGGCGAACAAAGTTAAAATATTTTAGGAATGACTCTAATTCTTGGCCATATTATTCGAGTATAACCTGGTTTGGGTCAGTTTACGCTTTATAATCCGCGAAGCGGATTATAAAACAGCGTAAACTGACCCAAACCAGGTTATACTCGAATAATTTGGCCAAGAATTAGAGTTATTCCTTATAATTTAATTTTAAAATCATTAAATAACTATGGGTGTAAAATTTCGTTACTTTTTATTAGTTCAAATTTGCCGCTCAATAATACAACCATAGTAACGGAAGTAACGGAAGTGATGGGAATCGAGGGGAGGTAAAAACTGATACATAGGCATAGCAGCCATGTTGTTTGCTTACATGTGGTAAGATCGAATTATTGTTTGAAATTAAAGGTGCATTTATTAAATCTGGAATTTTCCATGAATCCCGAGGACTGGAAATGAGAGGATTGTATGGATACAGATGATTCAGCTGGTTGTCAGGGGGGGGGGGGTGTCCCCATACCAAACCAGGTTATACAGAAATAATTTGTGTTCCTTTTTGGATATTAACCAATCAGAGGCTAGTATACAAACAAAATTAAATTATTAAATGTTATTGTTTAAATTAAAAGTAGGGAGAAAATCCATCGGTAATATCACATTCTTTTTCTCAATGTCTCTAAAGCGTAAACAGTCTCCCTCCATACAAAAATTTATCTATACAATACATAGAACAAAGGTTCTTGCTATGTCCATTTTTTAAGGCAAGGTTTTGGCAAAACGAACACACTAAATGGTATGGGAAATCCTGATGTCTGCGTCTATGATTTTCTGCAATAAGAATAATGTTGTTTAGTTAAAGTAAAATATAACCCATTTGAATTCATGAAAATTACACACACATCGTTCTTCACAACTACATCAGAACTCTAGGGATCACTGCTGTTCATAATTTATTTCTTTCTCATGTATTTGATTGGCTTATAAGGTGTCTTGTTTCCCCCGTCTGTCCGTCTGTGAGATTTAAATCTATGAAGTTCAAATAAAGATATTTTTTTCCGTTTTACTGCGCATTTTCATTTTTAGAACATTTCAAGAAATGTTGATATTGACTTTCCCTACATGGACCTCGGTTTCTTAGTTTCATGCAGAGTTCATGTGAGAAATTACTTTTCTACTACCTCTTATACGTTTTCGTGAAGGCAGTCAAACTGTCAGTATAGGCGAGGTTTCACTGTTTTGCATGTTTTATAGCCTGCAAAGCAGAGCGACACTTACGGATCACTTTACTCGGCATCTGTCTGTACTTCCTGTCATCTGTTTTTTTTTTAAATTATTTAGATATTTCGACTTCCTTCGGAAGACAATCCCTTTCCTAATATTATTCCCTTTTCATAGTACATGGGATTTCTCGAAAACTACGGACTGATTTCAAAGATTTTTTCAAGAATGATGCATCATGTTCATATCTCCACACCCTTTCTAATTTTTTTTAGAAATCACTTCTGGTCGCATTTTCTGTCGATTTTCGTATTTAAAATTGTTGTTTTTTTCCAGGAATTTTTTAATCATGAAAGAATCATCCTATTTTCAGGGAAGATAGAATATTTCTCTGGGTTATGCATAACATCTTCTATTTTTGTACCCGTCACTTCCGGTCGACACCGGAAGTGATATTAAATTCAGCGTTTTTTTTTTTAAATGAAGAGTTTTGAATGAAGGTATATAGATCTTATACTGATATGAATGTTCGACAACAAAAACAATCAATTGGAAGTATTTCCGGTGTAACCAGAATAGTTGAATAATGAAGTTTTTTGTACAAAATCATTACATTAGAAATTGTATGGAATAATTTGTAAATGTGGTTTAAGTTTTTTTTTGACCTTTGTGACTTCTGACTTCAACCGGAAGTGATGTCGGAAAGTCCGAATCGAAACCGTAAGTTGTCTTGTCGAGAAATGAATCTTTAATTGGGTACTTTTTTCAGGGATTTGTCTAAATGTTATTCTTATAAGGATTAAAAACTCTGAACACATTATTTTCGACGTCCGTCTAAGGCCTACTCATTGCTTGAATCGAGTATTGCTCGTTATTTTTATTCTTCTTACAGACTGGCCGTCACGGTAGCTCAGTCGGTAAAGCGTTCGCTCCGTGATCGGAAGATCGTGTGTTCGAATCACAGCCGCGGTTGATCTAAGTCGATAAAAAATAGTTAGCAACTGTTCCTTCGCCAGGCGCTCGGTACTTTGAAGTGAAAGTTGCGGGTCCTTCGAATAAGACCTTAAAAACCGAGGCCCCGTGTCAAGGTAGGCATTGGCCCGATAAAGAACCCTCACTGCTCAATGGCCCTGGGTGCCGAGTAAAGGTCTAAATTTGGAGCCCTTCACCAGTGTATGGTGACGTCTCTATATGAGTGAAAAATTCTCGAATGGGACGTAAAACAACATACAATTAATCAATCTTACAGATTGTTTGTCCGTGCGATTTCTGAAAAATGGCTGGAAGTTTTTTCGTGAAATTTTCAGGAGAGATGGAACATAAATTGTTTTTGAAATCATTCGGATTCATACTTCCGGCGACAAGATATATATATATATATATAATCCCCCCAAAAAATGTAATATATTTTTAGCGATAAGTAATTTTAGCAATTTTATAATTTCAAGAGAAAAGCTATAACAACATATACAGAATAAATTTTAGCGATATTAAATTTTAGAGATCTCGGAACCTTCGCTAACAATGCAAAAATTGAAACCTCGCTAAAAATTCTGCCCAGAAAAACGCGCTAAAATATAGTGTCGCCATAGGCAACTTCAATATAAATGAGATTTCGTGAGCGATCGGAAAAAAAAGTATAAGGTTTTAAGCCTTTTTGACCCAAAAATCGAATTCAACGGTTAAAAATTTAGTTTAGAACAAACTTCATTTTTAAACGAAGTTTTTAACCTCGTTCTCTGAAAAAGTAATAAATATTGTTTATTTAGTGAAAAGGAGACAAAAATAATTGTCAAGGAAGCGCGTGCGGCGCATGCTTAGTGCCGTTTCTTTCGTACTTAGCCATTTTTTTCCCTGTAAACAAACCAATGAGATGTCATTTAAGCTGAATTAAGATCTTGCAAAAAAATACAGATGCAACTGAATTTCTAAATTAATCTAAAAGAACAAGACACTAACCCTAATCTCTCGGAGAGAGTATAATTATTATACTTAAAAACAATATATGGCTTCTCCTTACAATCCTATTGCTATTAATGATATAGAAAATGAAATTATTTCTTTCCAAATTGATGACCAACAATTTTTGAGCAATTACTTTTAAGCATAAGAGGGGCTACAATTAGTTATTGTTCAAGAAAGAAAAAAGAAAAGGAAAATAAAGTAAAAAAATTAGAAGAAGAAATATCTCAATTAGAAAGTAATAGAAATACTGATAATTCACCTGAAATTATGGAAAAGTTAGAACATTCAAAAAGAAAATTGGAAGATATACGAAAAGAATACATTAAAGGTCTGTTTGTGAAAACAAAAGTTAAGTGGATAGAAGAAGGGGAAAAGCCGACAAAGTATTTTTTAAGTTTGGTAAAAAGAAATTTTATAAACAAAACAGTAACCAAACTAGTTCAAGATAGCGGTAATATAATAACAGAACAATCTGAAATTTTAACAGAAATTGAAACCTTTTCTAAAAATCTATATGCATGTTGTGATGATAAACTAAGTGATATTGACTTGAAAAGCAAATTTAAATATGGAATATGTTAAAATATTAAATAAGGAATCATGGTATCAGTTAGAAGGTGTAATAACCAAAGCCGAAGCTTTAACAGCATTGAAAAGCATGAAAAATGACAAAAGCCCAGGAAGTGATGGATTTACAGCTGAGTTTTACAAATTTTTTGGGAAAGATATTGGACAGTTCCTTATTAGATCAATTAACTATGGATTTCAAAAGGGAGAATTATCTACCACTCAGAAACAAGGAATTATATCAAATTTACCAAAAGGAGAAAAGTCGAGAGAATATTTAAAAAATTGGCGACCAATATCATTGCTTAATGTTTCATACAAAATTGCTTCTGCATGCATTGCAAATAGAATAAAAGGTGTATTAGATTATCTTATACATGACAATCAAAAAGGTTTTCTTAAGAATAGATTTATTGGTGAAAATACACGCATAATTTATGACATACTTCACAGTGCAAAGACAAGAAATATACCAGGAATTATTTTACTTGTTGATTTTGAGAAGGCTTTTGACTCAGTGTCATGGGAATTTATGTACAAAACACTGAAGTTTTTTAACTTTGGACCTGATCTTATTAGATGGATACATGTATTATTTAATCAAACTCAACTATGTGTAATCCAAAATGGTATATTTTCATCATTTTTCAAAATAGGGAGGGGTTGTCGCCAAGGAGATCCTGTCTCTCCATATATATTTAACCTGTGTGTAGAGATTATGGGATACATGATTAGACAAAATAAAAATATAAAGGGAATAAAAATAGGTGAGGAAAAAATATGTTTACTTCAATATGCAGATGACACAGTAATGTTTTTAGATGGTTCAGAAAAAGCCTAAAAAGTGCTTTAGATCTTCTTTTTCAATTTTCAAAATTTTCAGGACTTAAACCAAATATTACTAAAATAAAAGCTATATGGATAGGTTCTGAAATAAATTCCAGAAACACATTATGCAATGAAATAGGACTTCAGTGGACAGTGGAACCGTTTAAAGTCCTCGGCATTACATACACTGCTGATCTAAAAGATATGGAACAGCTAAATTTTGAGAAATGTTTTCAAAACATTAAAAAGGAAACAATATCATGGTCAAAAAGAAATATGTCTCCATTAGGGAAAGTTACAGTAATAAAGAGTTTACTTTTATCAAAACTTACACATTTGTTTACTGTTCTCCCAAAGCCAAACAAAAAGTGGATTAAAGATTTGGAAAAACATTTTTATAAATTTATATGGAACAATAAAACAGAAAAAATCTCAAGAAAAACAATGCAACTTTCCAAAGAGAATGGTGGTCTTAAAATGACCAATATTGACTGTTTTATTAAATCTTTAAAATTAACTTGGATCAGAAGATTAATATTTACAAAGTCTAGTTGGATCCCACTGTTCACTGAAATAACAAAATGTAATATTGTAAACCTATCCCATTTTGGGCCAGAATATTCAAAAGCTAAAGCAAAGAATACAAAAAATAGCTTTTGGAAAGAAGTACTGTATGTATTTTCAGAATTCTTAAGTCTTATAACATGTAACTCGAACCAAGGAGATATTTTGTTGGAACCTCTGTGGTATAATAATAAAATTATGACTCAAAATAAGTATGTTTTTTCAAGGCCATTGTATGAAAAGGGATTTATTGTAGTTGGTGATTTATTTGACAGTAATGGTAACTCTATATGCTTTGATGATCTTGTTAAAGAATTTTCTTTAAAAGTCCCTTTTACTATATACGAAGGCATAAAAAGGGCAATTTTGCATTCTTGGCCAAATGTTAGAAATGTTGGTATAAATTCTGTCACAAGACCTTATCAGCCAAAATTTGTGGAAATCATCAATAAAGATAAAAAAGGTTCTAAAACAATTTATGATACATATTTGTCATTACATGTATATACTTCACCAAAGTGTGAATCAAAATGGGCTAAAGAACTGCAGTTACAGCAGGATTTTAATTGGAAATTAATTCATAAAAAAACATTATTCAATAACAAAAGACACAAGGCTTTTATGGTTTAATTTTAGAATCATACATAGGATTCTTGGTACAAATAAGTATTTGTTTTTGTCAAAAA